TCACGCACAGGGAACCAGGGACACTTTGGAAACGTGGCCTTGAATTTCCAGGAGTTTTTGACTTTTACAAATAGAAAGTTTGTCCCTCATGTTACCGGCCTTACCCTCAAATCTCAGTATTTCAGCTCTAGGGGGCGCCTGTGTGCCTCAGGCAGGTGAGCGTCCCACCCTTGATTTTGGCTTAGGTCATGATCTCAGGGTCATGAGACAGAGCCCTGCGCTGGGTTCTGTGCTCAGCAGGGAGTCTGGTTGGGATTCTCTCTCCCTCTCCTTCTGCCCTCCCCCCACACACATGCTCTCTCTCTCTCTCTCTCTCTCTCTCTCTCAAATAAATAAATCTTTAAAAAGAAAGGATATACTGGATCTGCAGCAGGGCTGCTGTCATTTGTTAAATCTGTTACCAATTATGAGATTGTTTGGTTCAATGTTTGGCACATATTCAGACTCAACTTTTTATATAACCTTGCTGTATATTCAAGCAAATCACTTCAGTTAGACCAGCCTCATCATGAAGAGATCTCCCTAGTAACCAGTGAAGAAATACTAATGAGTTACTGGTTTGGTTCCTTGGACCACCTAGCTTGTATTTGGCACTTGATCAATCAACGAGGGTAAGCGAGTAAATAAGCCTTGTTTCTCCAGTGCCTGAGGATACATGAAAATAATTTGTTCTTTTAAGTGGATTCAATAACTCCTCCCTGAACATTTTATTACCCGCTAGCTTTGTAAAAAATTGCTTTTTCTTCACAGGGAGGGCAAATGCAAACCCTGAGTATATATATGTAAGTGGTGGCGGAGAGTCAAGCTGCTAAGTTTGAATTCCATCTCCTCCACTTACAACAATGCAGTGGAGGGGAGTTGGGGCCCATCTCCATGCCTCTGTTCCTCATGTGTAACACGAGGATACTGACAGTCGGTCAGGGTCTGCAAGGCGATATTTAAAGCAGTTCCTGGCAATAATAAATGCTCAGTAAATGTTAGCCACTATGATATTGTCAAAAGGGGTGAATATCCCAGAAGAACCACAATTTTTTACATATAAGAGTTAATCAAACACAGCCATAAAAAGTTAATATCACTCAACCATAAAAAAATGAATGAGATATTGTCATTTGCAACAACACGAATGGACCTAGAGGCCATTATGCTACATGAAATAAGACAAAGAAAGACAAATACTGTATGATTTCACTTACATGCGGAATTTATACAAAATGAAACAATTGAACAAACAGAAACAGACTCATAAATACAGAAAACAAACTTGGTGTTTGCCAGACGGGAGGGAGCTGGAGGGATGGGTGACACAGGCGAAGGGAGGGAAGAACAGAATAAAGTTAAGCTGTTAAAAAGATAGAAATGGCACATTCTAGTACATACCATAGGGGAAATCAAACTGTTTTTGCTTAAGCTATGTCCCTCCTATTCCACTCTAATATCTGTGTAATTCTTGGCATGTAACTTTGTTGACTGAATGAATAAATGAAAAATTAATTAATTAATTCTCATCATATCCCTCTTGATGATTTCATGCAGGCTTGAATATCCCCAGGAAAGCTGTTTGCTTTAAGAAATAGCCAGTGAAGGGCACCTGGGTGGCTCAGTCAGTTAAGCATCCCACTCTAGATTTCAGCTCAGGTCATGATCTCAGGGTTCTGAGATCAAGCCCCATGTCAGGCTCCATGGCCATGCTCTCTCCCTCTCCCTCCTGCCCTCCCTCACCTCCCCTTTTCTCCTTTCTTAAAACAAAACAAAACAAACAAACAAAAACACAAAGAACTGGTGAAAGGTTATGAGAAATATTATGCTTTATGTTCTGTATATGACTCAGTAGACAAAATTAATTGCTCTTCTGTTCTTCATGGATTTTCATTGATCCTTTTGTGTAAAACAAAGCCTATCGGTTGCTTTAGACCTGTAGTAATGATCATGGTTTTTAGCACTTTACTAAAATGATGGAAGTATGTGTCTGTTGTGTGTGTGTACACAAACATGAGAGAGATTTTAAACAATCTTTTTATTTATATGTTTCAGTCGTGTCAGTTTTCATGAATTTCATTATAAAGATTAAAAAATATTGTCTTTAAAAAAATTCAAGAATATAAATGCCACCTTGCTTGATAGTATTTCTGAGAATTACAACTCTAATAATTAGATGTAACTTTTCTGCTATGCTACGAGAAGACCGATATCCTTTCCTTAAGAATTCTGCTTGCCTTTCTAGTGCCTGGGTGGCTCAGTCGGTTAAGCATCTGTCTTTGGCCCAGGTCATGATCTCAGGGTCCTGAGACCGAGTCTTGCATCGGGCTCCCTGCTCAACGGGGAGCCTGCTTCTCCCTCTCCCTCTGCCTGCTGCTCTCCCTGCTTGTGTTCTCTCTCTCTGTGTGTGTCAAATAAATAAATAAATTCTTAAAAAAAAAAAAAAGAAAAAAAGAAGAATTCTCCTTACCTTTCAGTGTTCAGATAAATTTCAAATTCTGGTTTGTCTCTTCTACTGGTCCTGAATTAATTGTGGCATAAGAACTTCAGATTGCTTTCCAATGTACCAAGCATGCCATTCACTTCTTGGTGTAGCCTCCAGATTCACAAAGCCTGATTTTCCAGATCCCCCATCACATCTGGAAGTGAAGCAGGCAAGGCTGTAGGAAAGAATGAAGAGTGACTGTTGGTTCTATTTGCTGGCAAAACAAACCACAGACAAAAAGCCACTTCTGAGTCACCTCAGCTCCCCTAGAGAATTCTTGTTCAACCAGGCTGAGGGGCTAATGGCTTTCTAACTGCCCAGTTGTACCATGGACATCATGTTCTGTTCCCATATTTCTATATACTTTCTTCTCCTGACTTCTTTCCTGCACATCTTTTCTGATTGTTGGCAAAAGTTTTTTTTGTTGTTGTTTATTTGTTTTGTTTTGTTTTTTACTCCAAATCTTATTTTTTTCTTCCCTTTAGTTTCATGAAGGGTAATCTCACTGAAATCCCTGTGTGTAAATACCGTACGCAGCTCTGCTTTCCCTCCAGGGCCCCAAGTGCATACCATCAGGAAGCTGCTTATTCGCACAAAACCAAACATGGTCTTGCAACTTCTCTACAATCCTGTTCTTTCACATGGCGTATTGTTTCTTCCAAGAGCAAGCTTATGGGTCATTGGCCTCTCCTGCTAATGCACGCATCCTGGTCTTCCATGATAGCACCATTACAAAGAATTAACAGCTCTTTGTGTCTATGGGGTCCCTCTGATTTCTGAATCACTGGAGAACAAAAATTCTGTCTGTTCATTAAAGTGTGCTTGGTATCTATCATAGTATATAGTGAGTAATCAAAAAATGCCATGGAGAGAAACTAATGCATCAACTTAAAAAAAAAAAAGTTACCATCTTTTTTTTCTATAAAAGACATGTCTCGATTATTTACCTTATAAATGAACTACTTGTGGGCAAATTTATAAATACAGAAAGTAGATTGGAGGTTACTGGGGGTTGGGGGAGAAGGAAATGAGAAATTATTGCTTTGTGGGTACAGTTTATCTTCAGAGTGATGGGAAAATTTTGGAAATACAGTGGTGATAGTTGTACAGGATTATGAACGTAATTAATGCCACTAAATTGTGTATTTAAAATGGTTAAAATGACAAGTTTCATGTTGTATATACTTTGCCACTATAAAATTAAAAAATGAATTATTTACAAATAGGAAAGATATTAAAATAGTCAAGATAACTAAATGCATATTTTCTAAAAAGAAAAGCTTCTTTGCTAAATAGAAAACTCACAAAAGGAAGCCCAGTAATTAGTCTTAGAAACAAATACAATTGTAGCAATACTTGTTTTTCATGTATTCTCATTTAAGAAATATATTACTGCAATAAAAACCATCATTAAATAATACAGTGAGGTTAAAAGTGAGGGAGTGAATAACCGAATGATTTAAAGAAAGCACCATTTTTTAAAGATTTTATTTATTTACTTGAGAGAGAGCAAGAATGAGCACTAGAGAGAGGGAGAGGAAGAAGAGAGGGAGAGGGAGAAGCAAACTCCCTGCTGAGCAAGGAGCCTGATGTGGGGGCTCAATCCCAGGATTCTGGGATCCTGACCTGAGCCAAAGGCAGCCGCTTAACCAAGTGAGCCACCCACGTGCCCTAAGAAAGCAACATTTAAATAAACCTCTGTGATTGAGTGCCTGAGTATAGCCAGGCCGTTTATCACTGGGACCACAGACAGACATTAGCATTAGTGGGTCAAAATGGTCAGCTGTCCACATGCACGGGAAACAGACGTGGATATATCTGTCATGCATTTTTGATAGGAAGCACTGCCAAGTTTAACCATCCTAAGACTGATGGGTTAGACAGACTGGATTTGTGCCCTGGATCTGCTTCATAGGAGACAGTGTAAGACTTTAGTCTCACTGAACCATAAGTTTATCATCTAACAAATAAAGAGGGGAAAAAATCCAGTATCATTTCATTTTTGTGAAAGTGAAGAGGGCCTGGTTAAGGTTTCATGCGGAAGTTCTTCACTGGCATATGATTAACATAGAGGTCCAGATTAATTTATATTGAACAAGTAACTACATATAAATATAATATATATATAAATACAAATATACAAATATATAAATATAAATATATAAAATATCGTGAGTTCTGAAAATAACTTTAGTACCAGATATTCCTTGTGGGAACTTTTTTTTCTTTTTCTTTCCTGTTTTTTTTTTTTTTTCTTTTCTGTTTTGCCAAATTTTTACTTAGCTTACTTAGAAATTGATGCAATATTATTTCATCTATAGCTCCAGGCCATTGGGGAATATGAGTCAGTGTTCAGAGCACCCCTAATTGTGGGCAATCTGTAAATTATCTGTCTCAAAAAATGGTTGCTAAAATAAAGACATATTCTTTGGGTTGAAAGGTCAGTCTTAGAAGCATTGAATTCCATGTGGGATTTTTTTCTAATCTTTTCTCTTTTTCTGTTTCTCTTCCTCACATGCTGACTTTGGTGTAGCAGACCACTTGGGGATTGAATTCATGGGTAAGACTAAACAATTTGCTCCTTAAATATCTAGAAACAGCTTAGTTTCATAATGTGTATAGTGTTCTCCTTTGCCATCTGATTATAATCGAAATGTCTCATTATCAGATGCTGTTAGTAGTAAAAAGTGTTTTTGTTGATTTTTCACTAAGTAATGGCTCAAAATGAAAGACTTAACTACTTATTGGGAAGGCAATTGATGTTAAGTGCAGCTCTGGAATCATACAAAGGTTGGATTTGGCTTCTAGCTTTGTTTGCTCTATTTCTCAATTTTCTTATCTGTAAAATAGTTCTTATTTTACTGCACATGTAAATTGCTTAGCACAATGTCTACAAGAAGGCAAACACTCAATAAATGAAAATAATAGTGATGGCTTAAAAATGTTAGCTTTATTATTGTCTGCTCTAATTTCTTATCCTTTTGCATGATGCCTGCTTTGTATACATTTTAGTATCAATCAGTTTGGAGTATGAACCTTATAAACATTTCCCTTTACAAAATTAAATTATTTCTTGTGAAAGTAGTTGCTGTGAATGGTATATTTTTAAAAGCACTAGGATGCCTTCTACAGAATTATTATTCTATTCAGGAACTATTATTATTGTTATTATTATTGTTATGTTCATAGATAATTACATTAAGAATTGAACATACTTTTCTGAGTTGATTTCATAAGTAAAATAAAAAATTAAAAAAAAAAACAAAAACATTCCATTGGTTTGATATACATCATGATGCTAAAATGGAGGGATCTCGGGAGTTAAAGTTAGTAAAATTGAGAAGACCTAAACTTGAAATCCAAATTAATAATTCTTTGTTTGTTTGACTTTTGTCGAACTTCAGATTTTTCTCTTATATAACATAGATATTAATACTTGATATGTAAATGTGGTTATTGTGATGATATTTATATATTTAATTGTATCATTTATCTATTCACCCATTCATTCAGCAAATAATTATCAAGTGCTTACTGTAAGAAAAAATGCAAATAATTATCAAGTGCTTACTATAAGAAAAAATGCAAAGTATTAGTATTAAAAATGGACAAAAAAACCTGGTCCAATGACACAGTCTAGTAAGCTTACAGATAAAAGGTAATAAACCAGTAGGTATAGAGTTGAGAGTTTCCTAAGACTTTTTAGGCAAGATGCTACTAGCTTAGACTAGTGTGATTGTGGAAGATATGGGAAAAATGAGAGAAATTTAGGACATGGTGTCAACATAAGTATTTGAGGAGAATTAATTTTGAAGATTAGAAATGGGAGATTATCAAAGATGATGCAAGGTTCATAGTTCGCCTATTTAAATCAAAGTTGGGCTCATTTACTGAAAAAGAACACTGGAAGAAGAACAGATTTATGGGAAACGTCTTACTAGAGTAGGTTTGGAAATGTTGAGTTCTGGGTACCTCTGATATACTGAGAGAAGATGTCAAGTTGATAGTGTACTGCTGGTAGTTTTTAGGGTTGATTAGAGCTTAGTGATTTAATATTTATACTGGAATTGATCTTCCCTGTTGTGTGGTATTTTTCATTAGTGTTCTATTATTTGGGTATTATATCACAGAAAAAGCAGACAGCTCAATTCCTGCAGGTTTGGGGTTTTGGTAGAATAGATGAGATGAAAAATCATAAGGGCAATGAAATTCAGGATAACATTCTAATGAAGCATCATGGAATGAAAGGTAGATGCGGAAGGAAGTGACAAAAGGCTAGCTACCTGAATGTAATCAATGAGAGTACTTGAGCATGTTGTTGGCATGGAGAGGAGACTATAGTCATATGGGCCAGGAATTACAGAAAATTATGGGCAGGGTCATGTAGAAGAGTTTAAATTGTGAGAAGGATATGTGGCTTGTACTATCCTCATTTACCAGTGATGGTGGGGATTAGCAACGTGGAAGTCTGGGCATCAACAGTCACTTTGTGGATAGTGGGTACTGGGTCTAGTGGATACAGAAATTTGTCCCCACTGGATTGTGGTGATTGCAGGCTTTGAGAATAGAGATTCAAAAAGTTATATAATAGAATGGCGGCATATATAGGGAACACCAAAAAGCTGGTAGGTGGGTCTGGGCTAGCTTCAGACTTCACAAGTAGTATGGCCATGGTTAGGTAAGCAAAAAAATTACTGTATTGATGTTGATTATAACTGTTAAAAAAAAAATGGACCCATCACCATCCTATTGGGCTTTTCCTAAGGACCTCTAATAACATAGTTAATTTGCTATGGAACCAAGGTATGTGTTTAAAAAATCTGTGTTAAAAAATTTACAAGACTTCAGTTACTGGTAGGTGAAAAATAATAGATAATTGTGTAGTTCATCTATATGAATCTGAAGACTAAGGTTATAGTGAGTCTTAAAAAACTTGGTGTCAAATTGTAGCTATAAAGCCTTATATGAATGAGTTCTCAATGTATGAATATTTGACTCTGGCAGTAGAGATTGCCTTGTACAGAAGGGGTTGGGCAAGAAGTCAGAAAGGAATATGTAGCATGTGTACAGATAATGACAACTAATAAAGTCTTGTTTGAAATGGTGAATAGGTTAGTGAATGAACTGTTTCCACTGGCCTTACTAGTTCCTGTTAGTGTTCACCCCTATCCATATTCTAACTGAGTATGTAAAATTCTGTTTGTTGCTTTGAGAACATATATTTTCATATAACAAAATATTAACTTATGATTTTAGAGTCCATATGAGTAAAATTCCTTCCACCGAAGTTTACTACCTCACATCCCAATAATATGACCTCTGTAGCACAAATACAGCTGGGAAGCAGAAATGTAGGCATAATCTCTATAAACTTAATCACAACGGTATGTTGGAATACCTAAAATAATCAGTGTCAGTTCTGTTTTAATGAGTTCTAGAATAGCTTTCTTCTCAACTTTCATCATTTTTACTTTGGGCAATGTTAATTTCATCTTTCCTTCAGTTGGAACTCACATCACAAAATGATGATATGAAACACACAGCTCTTTCCCCCAAGTCTTTGTATTCCCAGTGGCCAAGTTTGTGTTATTGATCAGACGCAAAAGCTGAATACTTTATACAGTTTAATAAATTCCTATTTAAAGCAGGAATGCCAAATCATATGACTCAATAAGAGTCCAGCTATTATTTAATCAACATACACTTCTCACACTTACTGTATGCCAGATGTATAAGATACTAAAGATGTAGACATATAAGTCACATCCTTTAGTGCCCAAAGGCTCTGAAACTAAAAGAAAGCTACACATAATTGAGGTAATTAACAAATGCTATCAAGATGACATAGGCAAGGTACAATGAAGGAAAAAAAACTAGAATTTTAAAAAAGCATCTAAATGTGTTTTGGGAAATTCAGAGACAGCTTCCTGGGGTAGAAGACATGTAAACTGAGTACCAGCCAAAGTGGATAAACTGTATTGAGTGATGCCATAGTCCAAATCTGTCCCAGCTCTATATTATTTCCACATTAGGGTGGGACTTGCTATTTTACTCTCCCTATCTGGGTCCATAAGCTCCCTAGAGTCACTACTTTAGGACCAAAGAAAGCGTATCAAGTTCAGTAAAAACACTTAACCAAAAAGCTTTTTCTGAGTTGATTTATTAATTTTAAGGCATAATTATCCTATAAGTCATGCTAAACCTAATGTCCATAAAACTGTCAGCATTCAAAAGGAATTTTGCTTAATTATATTCATGAGTTTTTCTTAATGATGTTTCTGGGACCAGTACAATGGACATAACCAACAACAAATACTGCCCTGGAATACAGTATCAGTTTACAAAAATAAAGTTAAGTGATATAAATAGGTCAGGAATTTGAAGGTATGTGAAAACACAAAATTGTGTTTGTAAAAAAAATGTAAAGTCAGAGTTTATACTAAGTCGGTATTCAAAAAAATATTTCTTGAATTAATGACTTAACCTACTCATCATGAATACATGAGGGAAAATGGAGGTTTTTAAGGTCAGATGTTCACAGTTTTCCACACAGGTGAAAAGATCAGGAGATGGAGTAGACACACTTCACCGTAAGCACAAACACTCATTGAGAAATCTTCCCAAAGGTCCAGAGGAGACAGATGGCCAAAGGGCATGTCAGACTGGCCAAAGTTTGGAAGGCGCATTGATGGTGAAGAGGGATTTCTCATCTGAGAACTCTCTCACTGCAGTGTCAGGTGCTCAATCAGGGAGCTTATCTCATTATATCCATTTGAGCTCTTTGTTATGCAGCTATTTCTTTGACAATGCCCTGATGCATTGGATGCTGTAGGCATCAAAGATGTTTGTATAAAAGCAGGTGCAATGCCACTTGCAAACATATTAGCAAACCACAGGGAGAGCTGAAGATTGTGTGGGAGATCTCTCATGCAAATTTTTTTAATTCTCATATGGAAAAATAAAAGGAACTCTGTCAGTTAAATGTCTTGTTTGTGATTTGACATTGTTTTAAGGACAACATGATATATTTATGCAGATTTTGATTGAGTAAACCCTAGCATAATTTTTTTAATCAAAAGGTTTATAGAACTTGGGAAAAGGAGATTCTTAACTAAAATCTGAAAAAGTCATTCTAGAATAATCTCTGTATTTTGAAGTTAAAAAAAAGCAAAAAGAATGATATTCTGTGCTTGCTGTAAGGAAAGACTTAGTAATGTGTTATATTCAAACTCCATGTTCTAAAATATGTGTATAGTTTTAGAATTGATAAGGTCATTATTTCAAACTTCACAATATATTGAGTATCTCTTCATTCTGTCGTGTAAAATAATTGTTTTGGTATATTTTGGTAAAAACTGTAGATAATCTTCTGAGAAGTGTCTAGTTTCTAATTCTGTCTGGTTGATATGAAGTGGGGATATTTTCCTTAAAACTGTAATGCTTATTATGAGTGATTTGGTGTGTATTCCTTTAAATCTAAAAGGCTGGTATGTCAGTCAAATGAATTCATGTATATGCCCAAATTTGTGAATTGGCATTAGATACAGAAGTGATGATTCT